CAGTGAAACCAAGCTGTTGTGCACCCCTGCTCCCAGGACTGTGTATGGTTACATGAAACAGCCTTTAAATAAAATGCAGAAGCAATCCTGGGAGCAGAGAGTGGAACCAAAAGGATGCCCTAAGCACTAGAGCTGCGCTGCCTTTTATGTTCACTCACTGGCCCCATGAATCCTAAATTCTCTCCTTGACTCCAGCTTTTTCCCCAAAGGGTGGGAAATGTGAATTTGAATGCCCCGAGGCAGGAGGGGAAATGGGACCCACGTGTCCTTCTTCCTGTGTGACTGCTCTGACAATAAGGCTATTGCATACACGAAGGGGGAAGGCACTATCACTTTCTGTCTCCTCTTCCCAAAGTATTTTAACAGAAAACAGTGATCCCTTCTCAGTTCTGTGGAAAACAAAGGGAAAAAGCATATAGGATCTACACTCAGGAGATTCTTTGGCTATCAAGTGAATAGACACTTCTGTAAGTGGTTTTGAACCCATGTGGAGGTGCTGGCCAGGAAACACAGGCTGCTCATTCAGCACACGGGATTCCAGCCTGGGAGGCATCTGCAGTAATGCCAGCCTTAGATCACCTAGGTGTCCTCTGAAGTCAGTTATCCAAAGCCAGCCTCTCCTGGGCTGCACTCGCTCCTGAACAAGCCTGTCTCTCCTCACTGGCAGCAGAGGCGCCTCCGACTGCCAAATATTTAAAAGGATGAAATTAGGTAAAATCCCACTTAGATGATTCTGCAAGTTTCTAGGCAGTAGAGAGAATCCAAACCTTGAAATTGGATTTTATATTCTAGCAAGAAAATGCAGAGCTGGCTTTCCATTTCTGTACTATTATTTTAATGCAGTCAGGGTATAACCAGCATGGTTTTTAATTTGAGCATTTTCTGCTGGCAGCAGAATCTCTCAGCTAGCATTGTCTGACCATATTGCACCTTAGCAGGAAATAAAGATGTACTTGGTACATTTATTTGACAAGCACAGTTGAGTTGTAACCACTGTAGTATTTCAACACTTATTGCCAAACATAATGCCATGCATTTTGTTGGGGCTGTAGGTTCTCCCTAATGCCTGTCCTGCTAACTCACTCATTGCAGTTTGTGCCATCTAGGATAGGAGTTTCACTGTAAATGAGTAATAGGAATGACAAGAACGTTTCATACCAAGTTGAAATGCAGGAACATCAAGCATAGGAAAATGGCTATCAGCCAGTGCTTCTGGTGACAGGCAAAGTTGTTCCCAAGTTGTCTCCCTGAGAAGCACAACTGTACAAGTACCAAGAGAGAACTGGTTTAGTATTTGCTTAGCCCTGACTGGTTTTACCAAATTGCAATTCCTGTTTCAGATTTACATTCACACTTTTAGCTGAAGTTAGTGTCTTTTTACAGGAGTTGACCACCCTTTTTCCTCACCTGGCTGGGAAGGCTAAGACCAAAACAAGATTATGAGCAACAAAAAAACACAGGTGGATGTTTACTTGGTGAAAGTGTGCTGTGAGATCTGAGGATTTACCTTTGTGCTGGTTCCTGGTGTTGCGGGCTGGGTGAGACAGGCAGTGCTGGAGCCTGCAGGCTGCTTCCCTTTCCAGTTTTGAGGCATGTTGATCTCAGGATCTGTGAAAGCAATGGTTTCTGCTGCTCTGTTTGGAAAGCAAAATAGAGGCTTGTTGTTCTATGAAGAAATTGTTTACCGTAAGTTTGACATTTACGTATTAGCTTGATGTTGATAACATTATACGTTAACATTCACCCCACTAACGCCCAGACTGACGTGCTCAGAAAACTGGATTCGATTGCTCCTTTTTCTTCTCCTCCCCCCGCAACTTTGTTTTCCACAAGGTGAAACTCCTTTCATAATAATGACTGTTGACCACATACATTAAGAGAAAAGGCATGAGGAGGGCAAAAAAGTGTTCTGCATTTTTTCTCCATTTTCTCTGTAATAACATGTATATTTCTCACAGCATCTTTCTCTTCAAAGTCCTTTGCACGTATTTAGCTATCACTGCACTTGCCAAAGGCACACTGCAAAAGACTGCAGCTACAAACAGAAAGTGTTAAAATGTCTAATGACATTGCCTGAGAACATAACTACACTAAGGCTGTCCGAAATGCAAGTTCTTGAGGAACTGCACTGGATTTAGCAATCGCAGGTGATCCTAGAGCATTTTCCTCACGGCAGTTAAAGCACTAAAGATTAGGAATTTGTGGAGCGCTTGAGGTCCACCCTTTTGCTCGGATCATAATGCTTTTATGAAAAGTATATGAAAAACGTCACCAACAGGTTTTAGTTTAAAAAGCTCCATCACTTTTTAATGGTGACGTGTCAATGAATTACAGCATTAGTGCAGCAGATTATCTTTAATTTTTTTCATAATTACCCACCAATTTCAACTATCCTGGCGAATATAATCTACTGCAGAGTACTTTTTAGCAGGACATGTGTGCCAGAGATGAAAAGGATTCTATAGCAGCAGAGAGCTGTACTTACTGTGAAGAAGACCTTGATTGCAAATTAATCCTTTGAGTATCCCTGGCATAATGTATAGATCCAGCAAAGTAAATAAATCTTTCATGGCTGACAAGCGCATTAGAGACCTCTACCCTGAAACCTTTCTGTTGCAGACAATAAAGAACCAAAAGAGCAGGGCAATCCTTGGGCAACTTGGAGGTGGAATAGCCATCTGCTCTCACGTTCACCTGGTGCTGCTGAACTGCTCCAGAAATACTTGAGAAGTGCTGTATAGATCCAAGGATTTGTTAATCCAGCCTTGAGGATCCTTTGACGAGCCAGAAAGTGGAAAAAAAAAAAAAAAAAAGCTATTTGTGTCTCCCACACTCAGTTCACTAAAAGGCCAGGCTAATTTGACCTAAAATTGGAGTGAATTTCTGTTGTGTTTTGACTCTCCTATATGTCACTACTTTGCACTCAACATTAAACTAAAAGGGAATGTGAATTTTTATGAGGCTAAGCTCTGCCTGCGCTTGCTTTCATGAAATGCGTCAGGTCCTGCTACTCAATGCAAGTGCAACATACGCTGTTAGGTGGGCCCATTAATTATGGTATCTCAGTAGACCTTTAAAATGAAAGCTACTGCCTCTGGTGGTTTAGGTGGAACAGAGATATATAACCTCCTAAAATATCTGCAGTAGCCCCAAGTTAACAGCCAGTATTTTTTAATCCTTTTAGTTATATTAATACCCTATTTTTTTTTTCCTGGACTGGAGTTTGCCAATATAATTTGCAATTATTACTTTGCATAATAAATTCATCATTTTGATCTTCTGACTCTGAAAAGCAAATCACTCGGCATATATTATCCGTGGGAAATGAATTTATTTGTGTGTTTCGCTAAGATAGATACAAAATATTCGTCCTTCTGGGGTGGAAAGGAAGGGTGGGCTAGATTTTAATAAGACAGCGAAAAAGAATCAAGACAATTTTTGTAATAAAATCCTGCCTAAGCCAAGCTCTCCGAGTAACAAATCCCCTGGCAGGAGGCCTGCCGGTGGAGCCTTTCCAAGCCCACAGTCTGAACGGCAGCCAGAGGCTCACAGAGCAGGCCCAATACGGCTTATCACCTTTCCCCTCCGACTCCGCGCCTCCTGCCTGCTGGACTCCACATCCTGGGAGAGAGGACCTCGCTGGCCTGTTTACGGACGGCCTATTTATTCCTCAGGAGCTGCTCCGCAGGACGTATCCAGGTCACCTAACCCTGGGTTGTCACCGAAACGGTGAGCTTCTGACTTCTTCCCGTCACCAAGCCAAAGAGCAGGAAGATGGGCTGGCTGGCAGGGGCGCTGAGCTGCTCACCCGCCGCTCCTCACTTAATTCCCTGTGCTCTCTGGACCCCGTCTTGAGGTTTGACACGGGAAGACATGCTCATGTTGGGAGTCTTGCACCCATCAGCTTTGTGCAAAGCAAAGATGGATGTGGATTTTCTTTTTTTTTTTTTTTTTTTTTCTGTTTACCTCAGCTTCACAAGATAATTTCAGTAACTGTGCTCTCCTTTATTCTTCCCAAGGTTTAAAGCTGTGCCGGCAGCTTCATGCACATTCTTTCCCTTATTAGTTCAGTTCCCAGGCTGACATTTTTGTCTCTGTTACAATTTTCATTTAAGCTAACATCTCACTTGCTGGGTTGCTCATTTGAGTCAATAGTCATGAGGGTTGCTGAGAATACTAGCCAAGAGGCAATTGCTTGATGTTGTTTTTTTTTCGTTGTTGTTTCAGAGAAAAAAAAAAGGAAAAAAAAAAGAATATAATAATAATTAGAAACAGTGAGTCAGTGCTGGTGCTCTTGTGGTCAGACAGATATCATTTCTTTCATGTTAACACAAAACCACACATTGACTTTTACAGTGTATTGACATCTCCTGTGGGCTGTATCCTATACTGATTTACAGGTCATATTATTTTATTTACCTAACTAGGGTTGTACGAAGTAGAAACGGCTAAAGCGTTTTATCTTTTCAGCTCTATACGCATATAAAGAAGAGCCTTAAAAAACCTTCTTACTTCTGATCTAAATCCATCATTTAGTAAATGTTCATATTTAGGCTTGTAATCTGACTTGATAAAATTATTCATGTGTTTCTTTTCTACCCACCAATACTTTGGCACAGCAAATGGGTAGATCAGTGTATAGTAGTAAGATCTTGAGTTGCACATAATGTTCATCTGCCTCTGTGCAGACTGCATGTGAATACGGCATTCAGTATATGCATAAGAAAGTATTTCTATTAGGCTTTTTTTTTACAAGGCACAGTGGGCTAAGGTGGCTTTTTTGATGTTGTTGTTAAGAAATAAGACTGCCATTTCCATATGTGATATTAAAAAGCTACTACCCCCATATCTTTTGGTTCTGTAGTCAATGCTGAGATCTCAGCCAAGGGCACAGCCTCGGCATTTGCATGTCAAGATGAAAATAATCCATTTTGATCCTCTATAGAAAATGTGGTAATAGTGGAGGAAGCTCAGAAAACATTACCCATCGCTCTGTGCCATGGAAGTCTTGAGGGAATAGCATTCCAAAGCAGGGCGTGATGCTGCAGTACAGCGTTGCCTGTAATGCTGGGAAGAGCACAAAGAAGAATTCAGACACAACAGCGGTTATCCTGACAAAGATTATATCTATGCTGCTGGGAGAGAAAAAGAAAAGAGAGAGAGAGAGAGAGAGAGAGAGAGAGAGAGAACTGCCAAAATAAGGGCTGGCTTCATTACACTTAGTGATAGCACTTAGCTGAGAGGTCTAAGCTAAGAGTGCAGTGACAATGGGCACCCCAGTCAGTCAGTGAGGAAAGAGAGAGTTCTAAGTTAGATATTCAATGGGATGAATTTGAACCAAGACCTACTGGACTGATACTGAAAAGCTTGATTTCTGTGTAGATTTGCAGCTGGTTGTGATTCTGTGTGTTTTGCGAACAAATCTGTTCTTTTAGAGGACAGGTTATATAGCTGGTGCTGATCTGGCCTGGGAATATGCTGCCCAGATCCAGTGGTATGTACTAATGTGCCATATTGTCCTCCTTTGCTCTGGGGACAGATGCACCTGGCCTTGCAGAAAACCTTCAGAGTGAGAAGAACCAGAGTGAGATGTTCCTGCTGAAGGCACGATCCAAAGCTGAAAGACAGAGCCAGTCTACTGAAGGTATTGTGTGTGCATGACAGGTAGGGCTTCCTCAGCACAATTTGCTGTAAATTTTGAGTGTGCAGGAAGCCAATAGGTCTACCATCTGTGGCAAAGATACCTTGCCTTGTAGAACAGCTTTGCCAGATTAAAGCCTTTTAAATGTCCTTGAGAGGAACTGCAACACATTTGGGCCCTAAAATCTACAGCTCCATTACTGTGTTTGGGGTTAAAACACCTCCGCCCATGTCAGGGGAGAATGTGGTGGCAGCTTTCTTGCTTTCTGGCCAGGGAGTCTCTCGGATGCAGTGTGTGTCCTCTTCTGACGTGTGGAGGAGGTGGGTTTGGTCATAGTGCATGCGCTCTCTGCACTTGGCACAAGGAGCAAGTAAGATTCAGAAAAAATTTCTCAAGGTTATGAAGTCCTGGCATGGATGCACCCCACTGTCCACAAGGTAATACCCGTCCATGGTAGATTTATTAGCCCCTGAGTTATTTTGCACAGCTTCACTCACTTCCTAACCTGGGATTATCTCCATTTTTGTCTTCATAGCTGGAAGTAAAAGCTTAGCTTTCAACTAAGCACAGAAGTTGTACTCCAGTTCTTGGCAGGACAGTCATTTTTTCGAATCTGCAGCATTTTGCTGAACCTGTGCCCAAAAGGACTCTTCATAAGAGTAAATAATAATTCTAGAGTGGGATCCCTAGAGCCACATTAACTGTTATATGTATCCAGGTTTAGATGATGGATGTGGACTTTTGGAGCCCAAACATATATAAAGACTAAGTTACAGGAAAAGAAAAAAAAAAAAAAAAAAAAAAGCAGAAAGAAGAAAAGAGTGATGAAGTTCAGTGTTTTACACTGTCTTATCTCTCCACAGACTATCAGTTTTTCAGCTGAGGCCTCACCATGTTTGCACATCTGGAAACATCAACAATCCTGATTTTGAACATAGCCTTTTCAGTATCTGCGAAGTGCTGGAGGAAATGCTCCCACATAACTTACTCCCAAGGAAACATACTGTTTGTAATGCAGTGTACTCCTTCCTGTCTCAGGTCTTAGGATCAGAAAAGGCATATAATACAAAATAAAAAATGTGGAAGAGACTGTGCAAGAAATCCACAGGCTTAGCAAGAAAACTGCTAATGACTCCTTTTTAAATAGGAGAGCATTTGTGTGTATTAATGGAGGGACCTTGTTGGCAAACAGACACACGATTTATGTTTTATGTTACATTTCAGCTCTTATCCCCCTGATTAAAACATGCCCGTTATTTATTGCTAGATTAGAACCCTCAGAACAAGCATGACCAATCTGTAGGATCTAAACTGAAATTTGAGAGACAGCAAAATTACTCCGAGGCTCGCTTTTTGCCTCTGTTAATCCACAAGGATTCCTCCTCTGAAATAATCTTTTCTTACGCTTCTCCAGAACAGAACTGCTCTTATGCCCTATTCCCTAGCTCACCTGAGAATTATCCTGGGTCCTAAATGTTAAGACTGAGATCTTTTCTTCAGCAAAATCCTGTTTAAATCTCCTGGATAGATGGTAGGAGGCAGAGACTCGAAATCTGCAAAAATAATATGTGCTAAAATTTGCGGAAGGAATAAAATTAATGCATATGCCATGGCACTACCCTGTACTACTTCCCATCTGGGAGGAAAGAAATAGGCATTTCAGCTTAATAATATGCATGGTTCTCCCATTAGATTCCAGAATCTCTTAATGTAGATACACATCATTTTCTGGATATCAACAAACCACTTGAAGTATTATTTATACTCAAGGCTAGAATGATTGCCATGAGAATAATTGTGTAAAGGCTGGAATAGGAAAACAAAATTAACATTGCTGAATGGTATTCAGGCCTCAGTGATTTGGCAAACTTAGCAAAGATCACATGTCAGTTAAATGACAGATAAGAGCCGTTGGAAAAATAAAACAATGGTACTTCTTGAAAATCTCTGATAGAGTAAAGGTTAATGTTATTAACGTTCTGCTTTGTATGTAGATGTTGTGAATTCCATATGTTCTTTATGATTTCTGTTTTCAAATATGAATAGTAGTTGATTTTTTTTATTAATAGTATGTAAGGATGTATCTTTTTTTTTTTCATTGCAAAAATAATTAAAACTGTTAAGCTTGGAAAAGAAAAAGATCTAAACAGATTAAATCCCAGCCTACAACATAACTGAGTTTTCATCAGTAATTACAATATTTTAGACTTCATGATCAAATTTAAATGCATTTTACATTTTTCTCTTCAGGGTGCAAGAGTTGCTCTCTCACAGCCAGTCTTCCCTCTGTGTTGCAGATCCCCCTTTGCACCCTGAGCCAGTACCAAGCTCGTAAAACAAGTAAGAAGTTTCAAAACAGAGGAAACTGTGGGCCTGGTCTCATTGGTCTCTTGGTAATGCAGGCTGATTTATTCTGCTCTTCCTTAAAGCTGTCGTGCGGATTGCTTTAATTCGCAAATGATGCTTGTGTAATGTTAAGGAATTCATGTGCAAGGGATATGCAAAGAATCATTTCTCTCATTATAGTCTTGTATTTAAGCCTGTTTTTGCCAAATTGTCTGTCTTTTAAACAAAGATACTTGACCCGGGTCGTCCCTTCCTGGCAGTTTAAGTTCTGGATCAAGATTTAAATTTGCTAGTATGTCTCCCTTCTCTTCAGTCCCAGGCTTATAGGCAGTGGTTTGTTCTCAGCTCCCCCTTAGAAAATGTAAAGCGTGGTGTAATTTTTGTAATTGCCAGTAACTCCAGAAATTCCTCTCAAATGTGAGTTACTTCCAGAGTTTAAAGAATACCAGTAAAAATACCTTGCCCAGGTTTGAAATACATTAGAGCAGTGTTCCCGTTAAGAGAGGTGGCGTGCTGGGGTCGTGACTTGTGAAGCCCTATGTGCGGCTAGGAGGAAGGAGACGGCCACCGGGAAGGCACCGGAGAAGCTGAATCAATCCTCAGTGAACATTTCAAAACAACGGGAAAAATAGCCTAGCAAAATTTATGCTGTGCTGACAACTGGGGAGTTGCAAACCAAGTGCAAGGCCGTGGGAGCAAGTGCTGGGAAAAGGCAGACACTCAGCACGGACCCCAAACGTGCCCGTGCCATTGCCGTGCCCGTGCTGCTCCACACACAGCCCTCGGCTCCGCGAGCGCCCGAGCCCTGCTCTGCCTGGACATGTGAGGGGACACGGCGCTGTCACACACCGTCACCCTAGCAGACCCTGCGAGTCCTTTCATGTTGCCCACCTCGGCCTGACACTGAGCGAGGTGCCGGCTGGTGACCCGGAGCGAGCGCTCTTTCCCTTTCGTGATTCACCGTGTTACGTCGGGTGCCGTTCCGCGTGACTCCCGTGAAAGACAGGCATGGGGCCTAAAGGTAGGTGCATTTTCTGCATGAACCATTAGTTTGGTTTCTAACCTCCCACCTCTCCCATTCTGACCAATCTTGTAATCCATTTGATTTGGAAACTACGCGGGCTTTGATTTTTGCCTCTCGGTCACCCTTTAAATCATTTCTTATCCTCTAACTCCATTAATACAGCTTAGTTAAAATTGTTACAAACATCTTTTGGGGGATTATGCTCTTAATCATAATTTTTAAATGAATAGAATATTCAATAATCTGTATTCATGATGTGATCAGAAATAAAAAAAAATCCTGTGAAAGCTATTTAATAATATTCTAAACGACTCAGCATTTAATTAAGGTTATTAGAGGATTAGAACTGAGATAGAAAGATGAATAAGAAATAAATTTGAAGTCTTTAAACATTGTTTTTAAAATGAATGACCACATTAAGGTTTTCCGAAAAATCAAGTGGTGATACATTTTTTTTTCTCTCTCACAAAATCCTGCTTTAGAAATGTGTTTTTGTGTTTGGAGAGAAGGGGAGGAAATTAAAGTCTTTGAAAATTGTTCTATAAATAATGTGGACCCATTGAGTATCAGTCTGTCCCTTTACCGGAGCCAAAATAAGCACCCAAGCGCTGGGATTGTCTCTCCAACCACGAGAAAAATCCTCTCCTATCTGCAAAACTAGGGCCTCTGTTGAGGCTTTTGAACAGAACCCAGTGTGGGAAGATGTACTGTGCAGCGCGTGTACCAGAGGACATCATGTACCCTTCCGCCCAGACCTATCGTGTGCTCCCCAGCCGCGCCATCGCCACTCCATATTATCCCAGGCTTCCTTGTATGGAAGTGAGCCTTGCTGCCTGGGGCAGGCACTGCTACGGTCTTCCCCCTGCACACAAGTATTCCGAGATGTCATTGAAGAATGCCAAGCCAGCAGTTGTGGCTACATCTGATGCACAGATGCGGGGCATAAGCGCTTTTTATAGTGGTTTTTCACCTTGGACACTCGCACAGATTTCAAGCAGCCTCAATCTGGTCTTCATTTTTTGTTTTTTGCCTTGGGTTCCCTGTGTCCATTCAAAAGTAAAATGCACCTCACTAAACCTATTCTAGGGGGGATTTAGGATCTGATTGTGCATTTGTTCTACAAATAACTCCCACCCCGGTCTGTCAGTCATTCCACTTGCATAATTTCCACAAAAGCCTGAGGGAGTTTTTCATGCAAAAGGACTTGAGGGTCAAGCACACTTTAGAAGAGATTCATTTTACTTTTTTTCAAAGTAAACTTAAACAGCTTTAAAACTGTTCAGCATTTCCAAGCTTAGATCAGAGCTAGTCACAAAAGGGCAAAATGTGGCCCGCTATTTAGATATTTGAGGCTTGTTTTCCACAAGGCAAAGGGCCGGTCTGAGTCCCAGTGCCACATTTTCACTGGGGTCAATGTGCATTCACTGAGGGTGTAAGACACTTCAAATAATTTCAGCTGAGTCAAATGCTCAAAAGCTATGTCATTGCAGCAGATTGCACTCTGAGAAGAGCGGGAAGGAATTACATTGCACACTGTTAAAATGTTAGCAACCACATTTCATTTTTGAGAAGGCAATTTATTTGTCCTGAAATAAAGAGTTGATTATATCTGTTATTACTGTTACAAGAGCTTGATATATCACAAAGTGGAAGAGTTACAGCATGTACCAACTCTCAAGCAGGAAAAATGAACCTGATTCATAATTCACTTTGAGAATGTCTAGTTAGTCAATCAAGTGATTTGTAATCATAAAGGCTGCCAGGAATTGAATGAATAATGGACCATACTAAAATCCTTGGATTTTCTAGTATTCTTATTTCATTATGTGACTTTTATTGCTATTTTTGATAGTTGTATCTCTTTCAGTAGAACAAATTAAACTATTCATATTTACTGGAAGGAATATATTTGACTGTTTAATGTGCCTAATGAATATACAAATGGAGTGACCGCCGTACGTAAGGATCGAATATGAGATTTTTCTCCACAAAAGATAAACCTTTAGGATATGAAACTTAGATGGAAACTGTCTTTCTCTTCCTCCCACCTCTGTCATCCCTCTTGAAAGGATTTTAGGGTAATCAGTCCTAGCATGGATCATATTGTTACAGTAAATTTTCTCGAGTTGTTTTATAACCATAGAAATGACATAATTCATATACCATAGCATCTGTTTAAGAGCGGCTGCTTTACCCTGTTTCAGTAGCTAAGGCGCTACAAAACCTTACGCTGTGTGAGTATCTAATAAGATGTGACCTTCAACTTTGTATTTTTAACAGGGATCTAGTAGAACTATAAACAAGAAACAACCGTTCTAAATCAGAAACCCTTTCTGCAGAAGTCAGAGCTTAAATATGTGTTGTTTAAATGTAAAAGTGCAGGTTTAAAATATGCTTAGATTCTTTTCCATATTTTTGCTACAGGTAGCAAACTTCTCAGCCCACAGGTAGCAGTGAAATTTCCGCTCAGTGTTTTGATATTTTGTTGATATCTTCTAATTTTCTAAATGTAATATTTTCAGTGTTCTGAAAACTGACTCAGATAGTGTTGTCATCTAAAAATAGTTAAGTGCACCCACTTTGTGAGCTGCCTTATTTCTGACATGTTCCCCTGTGTACAGAGCAGATCCATTAACTAATTTTTGCCCCTTGTTCTGTTTTACATTTATGCTGTTGTCATTTTGTTTTACGTGATGGGGAGTGGGGGGGTTATGTAGGACAGAGAAAGAAGACGCGTTAACTAATAAAATTCAGTTAGTTTACATTTTTACAACTGTATTGATAATACTTTAAACAGAGGATTTTAAGTATTTTGCTGGTCCTGTGTCTGCAATCCAGATGTGAGGTTGAGACTTTCCTATTAAAACGAAATCTTTTTCTTCATTAAAAAAAAAAATACACAAGACACGCACATGACTTCACCTAGCAGTCAAGTGCAGCTAGATTGTGACCAGTACAACGTAATTTGTTTTGAGAGGAGGAAGATCCTTTGTAGGGGACTGATCCACTGAAATTGTGTAGAAAACTGATTTCAGTGATATCAGCAGGGTTTGGAACAAGCTCCCAAATAAACCTGAAGTTAGCAAAACAGGATGCAGTTAGCCAGACTGGAATATAGCCAAGGTGCTAGGGTGGTCGTCCCTACTGTTACAGATGTTCTCATGCTACTTTAAAATAATCACAGTGGATCAGAGCCTACATTTTCCACCTTTTCTAAGGCCGCTATGTTTTTAAAGGAACAGCATCAAATGAGATGTGAACTATGATGAAAACGTGACCGGTCGTAAAATTCATAAATCG